TTAGAAATAAGCAGCTGAGGTGTTTTTTAACTCGCTCACTTCCAACATCACCTGTAAAAGTGGCTGGTTGCAAAAAAATATCTTGACATTGAGGATGCATACACAAGTTATGATACATTTATCTATTAGATGAGAAATTTCATGTATCTGGTTAAATCACAGTGCAGGATAAATGCAGTAATTTACGGAACTGGGCAAAATCATGTATTTAAACGCAGAATTTTTTATTTTCCAAATTTCTATCAAATATACCGTCGTACAGTTTCGAAAGTTTTACCCATTTGATATTTTTGAGCTCAAGCCAGCCCTGGAGGATTAAGAAAAATTTTTACAGCTCTTTCCTTTTCAGCAATAAGGATGACGTCTTGCGTGATCAGATTGGCAAGTACAGGGCAATATTTGAGAAGGCAGAGGTTAACGTCCAGCTACTCTCAAATGCATTGCGCCGATATCTCAGTCAACGTGAAAACAGCGCAATACCAGCAGATACGAATCGGGGAAATACAGACGCAAATGCGGCAACAACACGTCGTGCACCTTTCGTACAAAGAAACGCTGGCGGTGCAGCGCCTGCAAAACGTGGACGAGGGAATAGTAGAGCTGCTAGTCGTGGCGGCAGCCGTGGTGGCAGCCGTCCGACAACGTCACGCGTAACCACTGATAATGAGCAAGTGGCAACAGCCAATGCCAATGACATCGAACTACTTTCGAGTAAACATTTTCTAACAGAAAGTCTCTTTTCATTAAAGTTCTGTTTAAATTATAATTTCAAGAGTACCAAGAATACTCGAACAGTCGGTACAAGGATCCCATGCTGGTGATGTTACTGGGCACAGTAGCTATGCCAGTCCATCGGTCCTCAACTGCATATTTACCATCCGTTTGATGTGTGTGCGTTACCTCCTTGGAGTTCAAGTGATTGTTTATTTCTCCCACTCAATGCGACACCTGTTAAAAACTATTAAACTGAATTTCTTAATTTTTTGTTCAATTTTTATGCATTTTTTGCAACTGTGCAATGCAGAAAACACATATTGACGAGGGGTTGTCTG